TCCGGCGACCTTACTCTGCTGCTTGTGCCGAACAGCCGAGTCCTCGTTACCTTCCCTGCAAGAGTCAGCCTGTCAGTGGGGGGGGATCGGATCTTTCGGATTGCAGACTCAGAGCAGAGCTTCGTTTGATTCCTTGGAGGAGCTCATTTCTCACTATGGAGACGTTGTATGGCATCTAGTAGCTAAACTGTCCCGATGGTCCTGTTGCAGTCTGCTTTGGGAGTCGTCCCCGGGGCAGAGCTCTGCTGTGCCTGGAGCCTGCGCTGCGTAGTGCGACAGAGGCCCTGCCTGGGAGGGTGTGCAGCCTTAAATGTCAACCTCTGGGTGCAAAAAGCAGATAGGAGGTACTGGAAGTAATAGAGGGAGTTGAGTCTGGTAAATCTTGTAACTCCCACACTGTATTCTGTAAGTTAATCACTTAGAAATACACCTAGCACAAGTAGTTAAGTTCTATGCAAAACAGAAAATGAAAAGATTAAGAGCAGTGCAAGGAAAGCTATGGAGCTGGAGGTTGCTGTCCTTAGCCAACATGCAGTGGGGTACACTGTGTTGCTGAACTCGGCAGGACTGGTGTGCACCGGGCTGCTTTTGTACCTGTGCTCCGGTGCCCAGCAGCTCCTGGGGAGATGAGGGGCAGCCACACATCGTGGTCCCTGCCTACTGCACAGCAGGAACTTCTCATTAGAGCAGCAAAAATGCTGGGTTTGCTTTTTGTGTGCGCAGTTAACGCGTGGTGTGCTGCAACGGCACCTTCTAGGGCTGACTTGAGAAGGAAAGCAGGCTGTAAGCTGCTATCACAAGAACAATTTATAGGATGTATTTGCAGAGAGTACCTTTTACGATGGTAGTTTGACAGAGTGGTTCCCTCTTTGTCCCGCATTTGCTGTTTTTTGAGAAGGATGTGTAGGTCATGCAATCTAAATGGGTTTTTTTTAACAAATTCAGAGTTAATTCCCTTTAATCTTATAGTTTAGCTTCCTATTGTATGTTGTGAGCTGTCACAGAACTTTTCTTAGAGTCTGTGTTATGTGTCAGTCATTACACAAACCAGAAAAGAGTAGTTTGTTTTCTTCAGCTTGCTGGGGGAAGACCTTGCTTCTGTCTGTGCGTCTTAAAAACGTATGCTGTTTGATCACCATAGTGAGGAGGCAGTTTTGCACACACACGATCTGCCCCAAAGAATTGTACTTTTTTTTTTTTTCCCCCCTGCATTTTATGTGCATAGCCTCTCTGCCTGTGAATAAGACAGGTTTCACAGTGGTTCTTCTGATGGAGAAGAGTCAACTTCAGTTTGTGTTCTACTTTGAGTAAGAAGCTTGAGTTCAGTTCCACTCAGTGATGAAGTCCCAGATAACCGTGCCCTTACTGCTCCTGCAAGAGTCCAAAGTCAAAACAGAATATGGAGGGATTTTCAGCATCCTGAGTGGATTTGAGGAACAATGGAAAACACAGAGAAAATGCATGTAAAGCAAGAATGTGAACATTTTAGAATACTCTGTTTTTTTTTCTTCTTTTTTTTTCAGGTTTATACTATCAACTTGGAATCTCGCTATTTACTAATACAAGGAGTTCCTGCATTAGGTGTTATGAAGGAATTAGTTGAACAATTTGCATTGTATGGTGCCATTGAAGAGTATCATGCGCTAGATGAATATCCAGCAGAGCAATTTACTGAAGTTTATCTTATAAAATTCCAAAAACTGCAATGTGCAAGGTATTGGACAAGGCAGTATCTGCTTCTTGCTGTCTTAATATTTTACACCATCTTTATTTACAATCTGTTAAGATTATAGAGAGTTTCAGTAAAATCCTCAATCTTGCCAACACAATGTAATTTCCTTCAGGGTGGCCAAGAAAAAAATGGATGAACGAAGTTTCTTTGGTAGTTTGCTGCATGTGTGCTATGCTCCAGAATTTGAAACAGTACAAGAAACTAGGGAGAAGTTGCAGGACAGAAGAAAGTATATAGCAAAAGCAACAAATCAGAGAGGTTTGTAATTAAATTTCCTATACAATCTTAACATCTCGCTTCGGGGTGGGTGGGGTTTTGGTTAAAGTTCTCATTAAAGAAAATGCTTTTTACCTAGCTGTTTTAAAGATGCATTTTAAATATGTTTGCAGCAAAGTGGAGACATTTTTTGAATATTTAGAGGGCTCTATCTTTTTCAAAGCAACTCTTCATTTTTGATTAAGACTAAAGAACTGCTTAAGCTTTAATAATGAAGTATTTCCTTCTCTTTTTCTTTTCAAAATGTTATCAGAAATTTCAAGCACTGGCAGGAAATTTGGGATCATCTTTTCACCTTTGTTTCCAGCTTATTCAGGCATGCCCAAAGGGACAGTATTGTCAGGAAGGTGGCTATACGAGAACCTTCAACAAAAAAAAAATTGTCCAGCATACATATCAGCACTGGAGGAATGCTAAGAATGGACTGGGTTTACAAAGGCTACTGTACTGCAGAGTTCCCAGGCAGCGCTGAAGGCTGGGCAAGCTGAGAAATAAGCAAATTGCTGAGCACAGGCTTCTCCTTTCTTGTGCTTATGTACTTTGACATCATTATTCATTGCACAAGGATATTTAAAGGAAGCAAAATAACTGATTTTTAACACAAAATACCTCTTTTTTTCAATGTTGCAAGACAACCTATCCTTCTTGAAATAGTAATTGGAGGTAAAAATAATTGATTTGCAGCATTATTTTCCTCATGTTCTCAGAACTGCTCAGGCATTCCTCACAAACCAGCAGAAGGACTAAGCTGAAAAACTGTAGTTTGAAAGGTGCCACTTAGGAAAAAAGAATCACAGAAAGATGTCTGGGAATGAAATACCATGGGTATTGCTTCTGTAGTTGTATTAAATGTTTTTTCTTATGTGTTAGAACCTAATAATGATGTACAATAGTGAAGCTACTCTTTTTGTTTTAAAGATTTCTTTGTGTTAAAGAAAGTAGAGGGGCCTGAGAAGACCATCTCAAAGAACTCTGACTGTCCGTGGAGTACACCAAGGTCATGTACAACTGGTAACTGGGATCCATCCTGCTTTACAAATTCTCACAAGGCATCCCAAAACACAGGATATCCATCTGGGAATCAGAGCCTGTTGACGTTTCCCCAGTATGATAACAATTGTGCTGAAACTTCTGGGTATTTGGGGCAAAGCACTTCCCTGACTCTAAATGTACACCTGGGAGGACGCACTCTGCCAGCTCCTTTAATGCAGCAAAGAACAGCTCCGATTGATAATGGAGTTGATAGATTTATGCCTCGTACAACTCACCTGCAAGAACGTAAGAGGAAGAGAGAAGAAGGTAACAAGTTTTCCCTTGTTGGAGCAAGTGCGGACAATACTGAAGTCATTATTGGTCCACAGCTACCAGAAATACCTAAAGTGGATATGGATGATGATTCATTGAATACTTCAGCTACGTTAATTCGAAATAAACTGAAAGAGGTATGGATTCTGAAAGTTCTGATACTTTCAAGCGTATACATTAGGTACTTGTTTTCCATAAAAACAGAGACCCTAAGATAACTTAATTCAACATTTATTCAGTATTAACAGTTTATTTGCCACTAAAAGCTAGCATTCTTACTACTTAACTATTTCATAATGCAGAATATTGCAGGCCATTCTACTCCATACCTCTTACACTACAGTCCAGAAAGTATAAATGTCAGTGCATGGTCCTAACTGATTTTTAGTAAACTACACTTTTTTCCACGTGGGGAGGCATGATAACTTTGCAGGTAGTCCTGCTGACTCTGATGTGGTACTTGTATCTCATTTCTGATTGAAAGGGAGTAAAAAATTTATTAGTCAGTGTTGAATGTAATTTTGCTCCAACACTTCTGATGGCATTAAAGGATGTATAGAATCACAAATTATATGCTGAGAAGCATGTCTTGAAGTATATAATCTTTTATGGGGGATAGTAATCAATTAGCAAGTCAAACACTCCTGATAAAACTCTCAATTTAAATTGAGATATCAAGAAGCTCCCTTGACTATAACTAACTAGACTGATTTGAAAGAGCTTATCTCTGGTCAAATTGATAAATAACCACCCCTTATATTAAATAAATTTCTAAAATGTGTCAAAACACACGCTTTCCCTTTCCCTTCCTTTTTCTTCCTGAAATACCTGAGTTTAAAAAGCATATTAAACCTTACCTTGAAAACAGCTCTGGAAGGTAGAGGAGTAATAAACTGTGAAACACTATCACTGAGTATCTGAAATGTGTTTGTGGGGTTAAAATATAAAAATGATACTGCTAACACTTCTAAGTTTCACCTCTCATGTTTAATACTGCCTTTTGTGTTATATTTTTCCCTTTTTCTACAGGAAAACTCAATACAAGTGTGATTATAGTAAAACATCCCTCCCAATACTCAAATGTTGGAGGCGTGGCCTTACTCTAAAACTATCAGAAAAAAGGAATTGTTACGGTTTACTAAGATTTTTTTTTTTTCCACGATTTAGGTAGCAGATTCTGTTTCAAGAACATCTGTGGAAAAGCCAGAGAGTAGCTCAGCCAGACCACTTGTAAAGCAGAGAAGAAGAATATAGATACTGCGGGCAGCATCTTCCAACAGTCCTTTCTTAAAGGATATCGTTCAAAATATTTTTTTTTTAAATGCAAAAAAATAAAACTATTTTATACTGTATTTTGAAGCAATGCCTTGTTAAAAATTTTATCAATTTATTTCTTAGAATGAACAAACCAGTATAATATCTTACTGTTGCAGTCTTGTCCTGTGTACCTCATAGTATAACATATTTTATAACTCATTGAAGAACTGTATTTAGGTAGAGTAACAGAAGTAAATTCTATTTATTCAGTAGCTTTTACAGTAGAGGAATACTGAAACTTAGTAATAGCTTCAAGTTGCTCCTATTTTTACTGTACCATGAAGAATGTTGAAGAAAAACCCTCTTACAACAGTATTCCACTTGGAGTTATAGTTTCTGAGGTTCACGGAAAGTTTTCTGTTCAAATGCCATACGGCTCTGTTTAAAAACACAAACAAATAAGTTCATATTCACTTAACTAAAGGGTTTAAATTTAATTCGAAAAGATGCTAAACTGAAATGTGTAAGCAGTGACAGTCCTTACACTTAGGATACCTCTTGCTTTTTTAGCTTTGAAAAGGTAAATTCCATAGCATTAATGGTGTCATCAATGAGGGACCAGTCAGAACATTTGAAATTATAACTGAAGGGGAAATTAAAATTGTTAACTGCTCAGCAGTGGTAATGTGTGACCAAGGAATGCTCTGGCATGGAGGGCAAGAAGGCCCAGCTGCGGAATGAGTTAAACTGGCTGGAACCAGGAATGCCAGAGACTGGGATGACTTAATGTAAAGGAGGGAAGTTTCACTTTGTTGATAAGAAATATCCACAGAATTGTGTTGTAACATTCCTGGAGTGGGAGGGCTCAGAGGCCACCTCTGTTCAACAGAACTGGTGCTGGGGCGATGAACCCAATGCTGTGCTAAGGTGCCCCATGCTGACACTCACAGGACTGGTGCTGGTGCAAGTGTATATAAAGAACTGGCTCATGGTGCAGCTTTGCAGACTCCTTGTAGAACCGCTTGGGGGGGCCGGACTCTGTCCAATACATTGTTCATTACATTTAAAAAAATGTATTTAAGTATTAGTGAGTGTTTAATTTGTGTCAAGGGGTACAAATAAAATTCCCTAACATAACCCCACTGGGAAAGGTAGGAAATACGGGTTTTCTTCATGTAAAGTTCACAGCCAAAATCTACTGGGCTTGAAAGGATGTGGAAAAGGAGCTCTCTTTTAACAGTGGAACTAGAGACCTAGTAAAAGGGCAACAGTTAGGTAGGATACAGAACAGAGGGCCTAAATAGAGGAAGCAAGAAACAAGCTGAGCTTTCCACCTCTTGCCATGATTAGCTTGAATTGTGTACCTGCTTTATTGCCAACACTGACAGAAAGCAAGTCATTTTTCTATGCTGATAAGTGAACATAAATTTTGTTAAAAAACTTTTAAAAAGCTTTTTACTGGTGTAAAAAATATAGTACTTGCCTGGGTTTTCACAAATTCTTGAAAGCCTTTTGACAGCCCGACAGAAGTCTGGCATTGTAGAAAGAGCTGCTTTGTAGCTGGTGTGATATAATAGAGCCTGCAATCATGGCAGTCAGGCCCTTTCTTCCTGTCCTCCAGCCTACTAGGTAGGAGGCTGTATAGCCTTCTAGAAAATGAAAACTTGCCATGTGCTCAGCAGTCTTGCAGAACTTTTTTCTGTTTCTAGGAATCACTGCATGTATTTCAGATTTTTGTTTTTCCATACAAAATTTTGTTTTTCCATATGAAAGCACAACTTTCAGCATCTAAAAGTGACATGCAGCTCAAATAGAATAATGATTATTGGATTATAAAAAAAAAATTACTCTCTATTATAGAGCAGAAATGCTCTCCACAGTTGAATTTAACACTGAGGAAATTAGCATGTTCTGAATTACTGTCTGCCAAAACAGAAGTTCTGAATTGAATTAGATGTATTGCTAATAAATGAAGCAGTGCCATACACTGAGATGAAGAACACTTTCAAGGTATTTTTTTCAGAAAGTTACCAGCCTCTCCCAAGAGAGGCTGTAAGTGAGGTGACAGCAGTGTTGCCTGTGGCACTGAAGAAAGAAAAATAAGAGATGGATTCCTGGAGAGCTTTTGGATAAACAAGAGAACAGTCTCATTTCCTTAGTCTAAGAGGGTGCTCATTGCTGCCCCAGGACAGACAGACAGACATCGAATAACAGTGTATTCTTATATTCTCTGGTACCAGTGTTTGACTGTAAGGAAACATCAGTGCTGTGAAAGGTAGGTATGAACTCTGCACATGTGTATCTCACAGCTGAAGCATTTTTCATTTGACTTCATATGTAATGACAGTTAATACTATAATACATACATCACCTTACCAATAGTATTTGCACATTTGTTTTAAACTCAAGGTTGATGTACCTTTATGTCTGGCAAACATGGTCCAAAGGCTTCTAAGAGAAGATTTTCATCTCTGACCACTTGTTCAAAGTCCATAAAAGAAACCTTCCCATCATGATCGTAGTCCTACAAAAGGAAGGGAACTCTTCAGCAAAGGATGATCACTTGTAGTAACCGTCTTTTTGTTTAACAGACATTTTATTCACATGGATTCTATTTTTAGTTTGAGTGTATACAAAAATAATTCTTTGGGCCATCAGTCTCTGCCCAGACAAGATCTGTATCATTTGCCTCTAACTAAGGCATAAAAGGTGGAGCAAGCTCAACTACCAACCACCTCATATGGCTTTTCTAAGAGAATTCCAGAGAAGGCAAAACTTTAACGTCAGAAGAGGCTTAGCTGAGAATTACATGGACAAATCTCAAGCACGGTTGCACCAACGTAAATTAAAAGCAGCAGACTTCAAAGTAGGAGAAAATGTTAGGATATATTCTGTATATGCATTTACATCATGAGTATACCTACACCCTACTCATGAGGCTAGTGGTTTCTACAGCAGGCATACTTCTGTCCTGTCTTTTTGACTTACAGCACCCAGAAATATACGGTGGAGTATGCTGATGGCAGACCACTTCTTTTGTACTGCAGAATCTCAGCATAGCAGAATATTCCTCAGGGGACTGAAAAAACATCCTTGTGTTTTTAATATCTCTGCAATTTGAAAACTGCCTGTTTATACTGATGTGGCAGCTTAAAACACCAACAAATTATACAGTGAGCATGAGTGCTTTTTAAAACCATATAAAATAAAGTTTTTAAGTGAAGATACATGGGTGGATATGACTGGTGGTCAAGGCACAAGGCCAAATCAAAATTGTTGAAGATTAATCCATGGAACCATCATAGCTGTTGAACATGCAGGGAGCACAGGTTCTAATGGCCAGAAAAGCAGAGGCAGGGAGCTACGCAGACAGATTCGCGAACAGGAAAGCCTGCCAACGGGATGCGTAAGAGAAACAGAAATGGCTGGGTATCCTCTACCTTTTACGCTCCTCAGCACAGGGGGGAGCAGGGCATAGAATCATAGAATGGTTTGGGTTGGAAGGGACCTTGAAGATCATCTAGTTGCAATCCCCTGCCATGGGCAGGGACACCTTCCACTAGATCAGGTTGCTTGAAGCCTCATCCAGCCTGGCAGGAGCATGTTCATTACAAATGCTTTTAAGTATGAAACCAGTTATCATGGGACTGGATATAGGCTTAGTCACAATGCCATGGTACCTACAGGCAATTGCTCAAAGAGTATTTTTTTCTTGAGTGATGGACTTCACAAATACATTTTTAGATATTTAATAATTAGTTGTTTAGTTATTTGAGATGGGCAGCAATCTCCTACTCAGACAACTGCCCAGCAACCAAATCAGATCTGGACATTCTTCAAACATGTATCAGAGCTTTATTAAGTTCTTGTGGAAAAGCTGAAACAGGATTATGTACATGATTAGTTCATATATGTTCATTCATATATGAAGATTCATTATATCTAGAGCATAGTACTTGTGCTTGGATTAGCACAGCCCACTTATCAACTGCCCAGAACACAAGGGTGTTCATTGTGG